GGAGAGAGGGGAGAGGAGAGGAGGGGGGAGAGGAGAGGAGAGAGGAGAGGAGAGGAGAGGAGAGAGGAGCCGAGCCGAGCCGAGCCAATCAACCTGCGCTCGTGCCGCGTCATGACACAACTCAACCGCAGGCGTCGCGTCGTTTAGCTCAAATGGACACTATCATGCCTGCCTGCTTAAATTGTTCGCTCGATAATAGCTACAACAGTAGCCTACTACATATGGCTCCAATTAGCCAATGAGAGGTGATAGTCAAAGATACTCATATATCTTTTCATTGGCACATTAAAAAAGATAAATTACATAATTGTTTTTCTATATTTGCAGGTTGCAAGCTGTTTGATTAGCTCGAAACCTGTATGATTATCTTTCTTCAGTGAAACATGCACACACACACACACAAACACCAATGTTAAACAGACTGATATAGCTACCTTTTACTTTTCCATATGAAAGTGAATCTGTAATTCCCGACTCCGATATCCCAAAGAGACTATATTTGACCATTAATAAACTATATGCAGGTGTGGTTCCAAAATCGGAGGGCCAAGTGGAGAAAGCGGGAGAAGTGTTGGGGTCGTAGCAGCGTGATGGCTGAATACGGGCTCTACGGTGCCATGGTGCGTCACTCCATCCCTCTGCCTGAGTCCATACTGAAGTCTGCTAAAGATGGCATCATGGACTCCTGTGCTCCCTGGCTTCTAGGTATGCCAACATATTAAGACTTTTTATTTGTATCATAATAAGAATGTATTTATTTAATAATTATAATAATGATTTAAATAACAAATGGGCCTTTATTCATCATCATAACTAATGATACAGGTTTTTTAAAATTGAAAATGATATATTTTTAATTAAATTACAAGAACATTTTCATATATAAATTTAGAGCCTTGCTTATACTCTAAATATGATGGCTCAATTTCAACAAGTTATATGAATGAATACTGCATGACTTACTTTATGGAGAGTAGATCAACATCAAATGGTGCAAAATGACCTAACCAGTACAAGCTCATTTTGAATTTAAACATGCTGTAAATTAAGCGATTTGATTACATTTACAAAAATGTTCTCAGCTGATCATTTAAGTGTTATATTTTTATGCAGCAGACATCTCACAGAAATGTTTTAAATAACATTTGACCACTTTTTAGAGCAATTATTTCCTGTATTACAATAATATAAGAACCAGAAAGTAAAAAAAGGTTAGTCATATAATTAAATTGCTAATTAAATATGAATTACTTAATTATATACTTATTATTTATTTATCTGTATTTGTAATTTACTTTTTCTACAGTTATCATTATTTTTGGTCTTTTCCTGGCAGTTGTTTTGCTCTCGACTACAACAGTTTGTTTGTTTTACTATGACCCCTCTGAACATGACTGCATTTTTTGTTCTTTAAAATAAAATATTAAAAATAAATACATAAATCTCTAACCAATGACATTTCACAACTGACTATCACCACATTAGCTAACTGTAAATAAATAGATAAATAACAATGAATTTACTTACATGATTAAATTATAATAACAAACTATAAAAAAAGAATATTGCATTTCTTAATTTATTTATCCATTTATTTTTGATGCAGTTTGACTCTCATGGCTCAGATTAGTTATATTTTGTTACTAAATCTAAAATCTGTCTCTTGCTATTTCCAGTTCAAGATGGTTTTCCTACCACCAGCTGCTTTTCTAAACACGAATACCCACCATTCTTTGCAGGGATGCACAAGAAGTCCTTGGAGACTGCTGAAGTCCAATCAAATGAGAAGTCAGATGTCACTCAGAAACCGACCAATCCCAAGCCGGATGAGGCCGAGGCTAAGGAAAGGAGGACAGAGTCACCCAAGTCCAAAGAGGAACTGAGGGAGAACAGTATTGCTGTTCTCAGGGCAAAAGCACAGGAGCACAGTGCCAAAGTGCTGGGAACGGTTTCCTCTGAGAGACTAGAGCACAAAATGGAGATGTCGGTGACAGAGGAGTCCAGCGAACGGTTAGACACAAAAGAAGAGGAAAAAAGTTCTTAGATTATGCACTGTAATTCTTCCCTACGTAATGCCATAAAACATTGGCTTAGAGTGAAAATATCTGGGCTATTTTCTCTTCCCTTCCTGCACTGTTCCCAGGACAGCACTGGACTTTGATTGATTATCAACGCTCCTCTGCATTTTATTTCACTTTAGCAAGGACAAAACCATTTAGACATTTTCAGTATTTTGATAGTAGCATCAGTCCATCATGCCAGTGATTAATAGCTTTTTTTCTTTTCATATATATAGGCTTACAAAAATTCCAGCCATAAAAATTGCTCAATTGAATAAAACCATAAATGTTTGGATATTTATGATCTAATTTCAGTATAAAGTAATAACGTCATCAGAAATTGATTGGTCACAAACTCCTTTTGAGCTTTGAAATAACAGGATTTAAATGTTTTTCTTTTTTCTTTTGTACAGTACCCCGTCTTCAAATTCTCAGTGGTTAAAAGTTGTAATAGAGTGTATTGCTGTATATATTGTAAATTAAGATTTAGCCAGCTACAGTATTGTTTGAACTATACATTAATGTACTGTAGTCTAATGTTTTCCTAACACGTAAAATGCAATACAAATTATTATTAAAAAAGATGAACAATGCTAACCTGTTTTACATCAAGTGTGTTTTAAATCATAAGTGAAGGAGAACATAAAATGCATCAGTTTACTTGAGCAGATTTTTTTTATGTACAGCATCAGTTTAATTGTGTTTAAGGTATCATATCATATATCATATAAGATGCTAATAATGCTTTTTAATTAAAATCCAAATTTGCGCTAAAATCTTTTTCTTTGTTGCATTTTGCAATGCACTAACTGGCGAAGGAACAATTTTTTACTCAGAAATTGCTGGCAAATTTCACTAACAAAGACAAAGAAACGGCAAGTAACACATTGAATTAAAATAAAATTATGAAGCCAAAAAAAAAAAAAAAAAAGGCTCCAATATTTGTTTTATTTACAAATAATAGTTTTTTATAGTGTGCTCTGGTCTACGGAGAACATAGAGTAACAGTCGTTTGTATGTTGACCAAACAGTTGTGTGTCACTGAGTGTAATCCGACACAGTTGAGAGGCCTCAATCTGGGCAGATTAAACAGCAGGAGTGATGCATAACAGACATATGGGAGAGAGCATGAAAGCAGCCCTAGATAAGGTGCTCTCACTGAGGCTAGTTCTCCTGTAATACCCTTTATCCTTCATGTATTCACATATAAAGTCTATCTATATATCTATCTGTCTGTCTGTTTAAAAGCACTGATATTTTGAATGAATAAAGGCAGGCCCAGTATTACAATCATTCTCATATTAGCAGTCTTGGATGCCTCACATAACAGGATAGAGAAAAGCATGGAAATTATCTTACAACGGTACATAATTGAAATTAGCCATTAAAATGACCGTGTTAAACCTAATGAATAAAAATATATAGGTCTCCTTCTGACTAATCCGCAAATTGTGAAATCAATCAGGATTTGTGCTGATTAGAAGCGTCCAAAAGGATGTTGCACGCTCTCTCTATTTCATCTGGGTTGTTGATCCTTTCCATGCCCTTATTATCAAGGCCTGTCAACAGATTATTGATACACACTGTTAATTCAATCCTAATTTAATTTACTTAGTGTCTGCGTAATTAATTAGTTGACATCTGGGGTGATAAGGCTAGGCTTGCGTAGCAACAGAATATACTGTATCTCTGTCCGCTTTCCTGACATCTCAGTGATCCTGTCAGGCATATTAGCCTTTTACATTTCCCTATATTGCTCTAGACAGACCAATGTGGATTGAGGAATGTAAAAGTGGTCCCTTCCTTCCCCCTGCTGGACATTTGCTGTAATTTAAAAGTAATTTACCCCAATACATAATTTGCTTCATAAACCCAGCAATCCATTGGTGTTTACTTAGTAATAAATCCATTTCTGAGGGATTGTATAGGTTTATAAGTTTGTCAGTTTACTTGAATTCACTATAAGGTTTTTATTAGTTTAATTTGTTCACTAACAATGCCCAACAGTGTTATAGACATCACAAGAGAATTCAGTCCTTTGTTTTTTCTTCTTCTAAAAATCAATAACTTTTTCAATTGATCTGAAATTATGTACTGAGTTTAAAAGTATTCTACATTATTACAAGCAAGTTTCTTATTATTATGTATTAAGTCATTATCAGGAGAAGGTTTCACATTATGATGAGATGTTAAGTAAATATTACAAAAAAGTTTACATTATTATGACTAGCAGAAGCATTTTTACTGAACTGTGGCAGAAACGGGCTTATGAAATCATGTTGGGTTAAAAATGGAGATTTGTGAAATGTGTAAAATACACCCCATTCATACAATAACAGAATAAAACAGAGGTCTGTCTATCTATCTATCTATCTGTCTGTCTGTCTATCTATCTATCTGTCTATCTATCTGTCTGTCTATCTATCTGTCTGTCTATCTATCTGTCTGTCTGTCTATCTATCTGTCTGTCTATCTATCTATCTGTCTGTCT